GCGTCTCAAAGAATTGGCTTAAAATTTTCAAAATTATGTCCAAGAATGAACGAGATAATGCAGTGTATATTTTATCGCAGAACAAAAATGGGTTGAATATTATGGGAAACTTTTATTCCCTTGGGGAAGTGGAGACAGAGAAAATGCCAAATAATAAAGAGATAACAATGGATGAGTTCAGTGAACAAAAAAGCAAAAATAGGAAGTCCACAGGACTGGATGATGTGCCAATGGAATAATGGAAATATGCAGATCCGATGAAAAGGTCCTTATTAAAATTCTTTAACAAGCTTTGACTTAAAGGAAAGTACCTGCAAATTGGAACAAAGTCTTAATAATTAATATACATAAAAAGGGGTTAAAAGAAGACAATTATCATGAGTTCTCTTATTGACAACAGCTTCAAAATTGTAAACACCAATATTGAAATTCAAACATTAAAAAAGAGATTGAGAATATTCTTCAGGATGAGGTTAACGGGTTCAGTAAATGAACAAAATTATGGATGTATGGATTACCACAAATCCAGGAGGTATATTAATATGGTGAAATAAACAAATCAAGAATATGACTTATACACATGATCAAGTTCTTTCAGCTACCTCGGAAAACAATATTCAAAGAAATGTAACATGCCTTAACTGAATGCCACAGAGTTGTAATTTAAGAATAACATTAAAAATACTAAGACTATGGCATACCAAAGTAAATATTTGAGAAGAATAAAATTTGTTATCAACAACCAAATTATTGAACAAGTATTTTCCTTCACTCATCTTGGCTGCAAAATATGAAATGACATCAACCCCCAAATTTAAGAGAATGTAAGTTAACATAGGAAGTTGAATGGCTTTATGAAGAAGCATTTTAAAAATAATATGTTGAATAGTACCTTGTTAAGATTTTACAATGTGATATCTCAACCCACACTGCTTCACAAGTGAAACATGGACATTAACAAAAAGTAATGAAAGAAGATTAAAGGAACAGAGTTCCAAATGAAAACAAGGTCAAGTTCAAGGTTAATTATTAATAGTGTAGTAAATGACATCAAACAATACCAACAGAAATGGTTCCAACATGTAAACAGGATGGAGTCAAACAGAGTTAAGAGTTAGCTTTCTTATATAAACCCTATGGGCTAAAGAGATGTAGGTAGACCTATAATGAGGTGGTTGGAGCAGTGCTGAGTCTCAGAATGGGCAACTGGCTCCCAACACTTGTGAAGGGAGAAGTTAACAAAACAGCAACTCACACCTCTTGACTACTACTACCACAACTCTACCTAAAGTACAATTCAACAAAATATGTATAGTGAAGCTACATTGATGTCCAAAAGCAAAACAAGATGCATTCTCAGTGTTGCTCTCAACGGATAAAGGGTAACTGGATCAAGAGAAGCTTAAGTACAATATTTGTTCAGAAATCTTTCCGTCTGAAGACAACCTTGGGGCCTGAACACAAATAGGATTTTCTCCAAAATGGATATTCCCAGATCAAACTGGCTGAACAAAGGCCCTGCAAATTTGAAACTGCTATTTTAATTTTGTGAGGTACTTTACATAAATCCTCAACTTTTTCAAAATTTTCCCAAAAATTGCACAAAATTGTATCTATTCATCAGGTGTCAGCATCATCAGCTCACTACAACAAATCCAAATAAAATACTTGGTATTTACTTGACAGCACACTGCCATGATACTAAACAATAAAAATTGATACAAATAATTTGACACAGATATGGATGGGCCATTTTGCCACACACAATATTTTTTGGTGAGAAGGACCCACAAAACATGGATTCTGACTAGGCAACATTTGAGGAAGTGCTGCTACATGCATCAAAAATAATTATCCACACATTTGGAATCAGGAATCCACAATATGAGTTTTCCTAATAAAACATTGCCCTACATTCCTAATAAAGCATTACCCACATTTCTAATAAAGCATTACAATACTTGCATCAAGGTAATACAGTAAAATCTGTCTAAACCACAACCTCACCAAGCCGGAAATCTGCCTTAACTAGAAAATTTACCCAGCCCATGAAGTTAAATGGTATTTTACACAGCATTAAACGAAATTTGTCCAACGAAGAAAGGGAAGAGTTTTTAATGTCCTGCAGAGAAAGAAAACCTTATAAAACAGAATTTCTGTGAATTTAATGCCATTTGCAGAGACACGAGAATCTCTTAATGGAATAAATTCATCGCAAGCCTGTTTCTCTGTCACTGTGAGATGCATTTCAGTTGTGGTAGCCAGACAGTGAAGGTAAGAGGATTCACCTGTCATCATAGAATTTGACCTTGAGGTCGCTTGCCTCACAGTGTTTACAATAGACGAAGTCCCCCCTCCTGGCTCTATGAGTGTTGGAATTTGTACGGGCATGACTTTTGTTTACACATCTCTCGGGCCTGCGATGAGAACCACAACCACGTGGCTAGAGCCGCATTGGTCATGACCATTTGAGAGTATCAAAAAGACCTGGGCTGTAATGCGTTGTGTGTTGAAGAGGCAGTGAGCAGTCCAGATGTAACCACTAGAATGAGGGGGTGTGTTTTCATGATTTTCACAACCAGTTGGAAATATTGTTGGAAAAATATAAAACTAAATATTACAGTTTTTCCATTTCACAAAACATTGCAGAAAAGGTGTTAGTAAGTGGCGAAACAAAAAACTACATTAACATTAGGGAAATAAATAAACAAAAAATAAAAAAAAATAAATAAAATAAATGAGTGGACATGTTGTGAAGATTTTCCTTTCAATTGTCAGAAATATGTTTAGTATTAATTTACTGGTTATTTTTTCGATAAACAATAATATATTTATTACTAGCAATGAAACATTACATATATTTTATATAAATTAAATATATTAATTATTTATAATCTCTTTTATAATTAAGTCTTAATTCTTTAAGTTAATGTCTTTTTTATAATTACAATAATGTCATGCACTTTACTAGTTTCAGGATGGAAATATCAATGTAACAAGTGTCATAAAATACACAACCCTGCATCAAATGGAAACCTCCCTAAACTGGAATATTTTTTTGTCCAGATCGATTCTCGTTTAGACACATTTTACTATACTTCTACTCTTTACATGCCCTTAATATGTGGGAAAGTAAATTTGAACTGAATTCAGAGATTTCAATGAAACCTCAATTTTAACTCTATTTATAAGCACACTCTTCTCTAGTCAAGCAAAATTTTCTGGAGCATTCTTACAGTTTAAATATTACCATGAAATTAACATCACCAAATCGACTGAAGAATATCCATTTTGGAAAAAATTCTGTGTATAGTTCAGGTGCAAGTTGCATTTGCATAGTTAAAAGTGTTGCATCATTTTATTATTTGTCTGTAGTATTAGAACATCATAATGAAAAAACAACAGAAATGAACTGTATAATGATACTTAAAATGTATAATGGCGAGTAGAATGATGAACATTACACCAATGAGAACTAAAAAAAATGTGTAATAGAAGACATAATATAGTGCGTGTGAAAGCCTACAACGATTTGAGTCATACTTTGAAACTAAATAATATACAGAAAATAAAAAATGATAAGTCGTTGAGGAGAGAGACATGAAGAGATGAAACACACTCACTTCTGATTGGCGAGATTTTTGGTAAATTTTTCTTATTTTTGTTCTTATTCTCTCATTTTTTGCCATTTTTTATTTCCTGTTTTCCTATCATGAATTTGTGAAACGATGTGCAAGGAAAAACAGATGTTAGTCCAGTAGAAATATATTATATAATTTAGTTAGCTTAGTTCAAGTTTGCGCATAGGCAATAACTGCCTTCAGCAGAGTATCCATGGATACTTTACTATTTCATGTAGACAATAAATATGTATATATGTACGGTGACTTGGAAAATATATTCAATGACGTCAAGTGAAGTCTCTTAAAAAAGAACCAACTGGAATAATAATAATAATAATAATAATAATAATAATAATAAGAAGAAGAAGAAGAAGAAGAAGGAGAAATAAAAATTATAAATGAAAATAAACAACAAAAGAACAAATCCAAACCCTCAACAAATAATGAATTTTTAATATAAATACTGTTTATTCGCAGTGCACCATTTATATCCAAATTCTTGAATTACACACTGCAATCACAGTTTGCACATACTATTATTATTATTATTATTATTATTATTATTATTATTATTATTATTATTATTATTATTTTATATCATCATCATCATCATCATGTATCATGACATTACATCTTACAGTTTCCCCAAAAGTAATCTTAGTGTCTGAAAATGCTTATTTCACAATCAGAAACTAGAATCACCAATTCACCTGTCAGTGTTTTATCACTATTACTAGTCTCAACTTATATTTAAGCTACCTTAGGAAGGTTAAGATTAATAATGAATGAGTAAGGCATCAAAGAATTGTTGACGTTTCCAAAGTACTTATTTCTTCCTGAACAATGAATATCAATGCCTTAGTTAGTGAGCTGAAATTTTCCATGCTGTTGAGGCACAAATCAGGAGTTACAACAAATTCTTTTTCTCCACCAATGATTCAAAAAAATTATTGCTTCCTTTTTGATGAACAAGTTGTCAGTAACATGACAATTTGGATCAGATTTGTCTGACTATACATAATATTTTTTTCAAAAATTCTAACCTATGCTTATCAGTTTTACTACTGAACTCTATTTACTATTCTTATAAGTTTTAATTTTTTCTTCTTCTTTACTTTCCCAAAAATCTGCAATTTTTCATCACAGTATCTAGCTTATATCAATATTACCATTTTCTTTTGCAAGAGCGGAGGTGATTGAAGTATTATGCTAAGTATCATTTCCCATATGCACTATCTAAGAAATGTATTCAAGACAATTGTAATAATACTGGCCGAAGTTTTTGATGATAAAATACCAATGGTGAGTTTCACCACAAAATAGTTTTTGTTTTATTACTAAAACAGTAGAATAACAATTAATAAACTTATTACTTACATTTTCGAGCATCCACACAGTCTTGACTTTCTGAATGAGTAGGTGTCGGAGGGCCTTCTCCAAGAGTTACCCCACTTTCGCCACTTGTATCAACTTTAAGAGGAGCTAATGGCATCTGGGTTGAAGTCGGTGTATGTTGTTGGTTGTTTTGTCCAGTAGTATCCAAAGCTTGCCGTGATAATAACAATGCTGTTTGGATTGTCTGTAGAGCCTCAGCTTGTTCCATACTTTGCAGCCCTTTGGCTCCAGTAATTTGTGAAAGTAGCCTTGGTAAGCTTGCCAAAGTCACAGGTGGTCCTGGTGCATTAGCCTGTGCCTGTGGAACCATTGTGGGAGTTGCACTGCCGACTGGTGAAGCCTGTGATGTCTGAGGCTGCTGCTGTGGCTGTGGTCCAGGAGAGGTTGTTCGTGTGGATCCGGATGATGTATGGCTGCCTTTCCCCACAGATTGTGCTTGTGAGGTTTGGGGTTGCTGGTATGTACTTCGACCACCAGCTGAAGCTGGCGATGTCATAAGGTGAGGATGTGATGCAAGACGAGGCAATGCATTTGCAAGAAGCACAGGCCCAGTCTCACTTGATGAGACTGGGAGCGATTGCTGTTGTTGCTGGGAACAACTGCTGTTTCCAGTTGGTGTGTGAATATATGAGGTTTCAGATGTTGGAGTGCTATCACCAGGTGATATATCCATGTCCTGAGCCTGCGATTCACCTGTAATCAAAATATTAAACAATGGTGATATATGGAATTTACTGAGCTTCTTAATAAATATTAATTTCATTTAACATTTCATTAAACAATCCATTAAAAACTATCTGTTCCAAAAAGTGTCAATTCTGCTGAAATTCGTAACAGGGCACCACAAAGTAAATTGATAATTTTCTTTGTATTTGTAGCCTCAGATTGTATATTATCTTATTTAGAAAATTGGAACTTTAGGTTAGGTGACATAGCATGTCTTCTATTCTATCATTACAAACTGTATGTATTGGAACATATATTCACCATACTCTAGATAAAAACCAATTCCAAGAGCTTCTTTCAACATGGGCTGCTTTTTGCATAAATATAGTATGGCTGTCATGATAAATTGTCACTGCATAAATATATTATTGTAGAGGGTGGGTTGAGATAATATATCAACACATTAATAAATTGGGTGGGATGACATGATTTGTCCCCACATTAGTGTACAGGTGAAATTGGTTGCTCTTAAAAGAATGACCTCATTTTCGTTGAATTTTCTTAATTTTCGAAAATTGCCACAAATTAACATTAAAAATGGAGATGGTCTTAATATCTGTTATAAAAATTATATCCTTAAAAAAGGTCATTAACACTTCATGAAAATAATGAGTATTTTTTGTGAATTTCTGCTTGACATTGATGCAATTTATAAATAAAACAACAAAACATGTTCGGTTCATGTTAGAACATAAATGGTTCTACATTTTTTCTACATATAGAGCAAAGGACTCTTAAAAAAGGGGGAGGTCTAATTTCCATTGAACACACTGAATTTTCAGGAATTACATGTTGGAAATAATGGGAGTATCCATTAGCTTTTAAGTGTCAGTAAAAGTGAGTACGACCAAGTGACTTGGTGTAGCAGTTAAGTGCAAGGCCCATTATCTCAATGGATCTGAGATTGAGTCTCAATGCGAAAATTTTTTTTTTCTGATTGGAAACACTTTTGTAACTTCATTTAGTAGTATAATATTGAAGAGTTGTAACAAATAATGTAAGAAAGAATAAGCTGTTGTAGTACCACAATTTTCTTATAGCCAAGTGAATAATTCAAAAATTAAAAATTTTTGGCTGTAAATATGAATAATTTTATAAGAATAAGTGTGATCCTAAATTATTGGAATATAAATGTCTTTTGTGATTGTTACTGAACTCTAATTTAGAATAATATTACAAAATTGTAGGTTATAGAATCACAAATCACCTAGCTGAAGGAGAGCTGGTTATTAGAGCAAAGGGTATAAGGTTGGAATGATAATGGAATGATTATGATGGATGGAAATGTGGTGATGGATGTGGCGATGGATGTGGTGATGGATGGGGGGATGGATGGAAATGTGGTGATGATAATGATGGATGGTTGGAATGATAATGATGCTGATGATGAGGCAGGGGCAAAATTCAGGCAATGGACCAGAAATAACTGACTTTGTTTTAATGTTCATTTTACTTACCATCCAAATGCTTCCGTCGTTCATGACTTTCACCTTCAGTATCTCGTGAACTTCCCGACTGTCCAGCCCAATATGCTTCTCGTTTTTCAAGCTGCCGCGATGTTGCTGCAGGAAGCATGGACTTCGAAAGCCCATCTCGAGAACTGCTAAGCGATGAGCGTGAGTTGGAATGTTTATCATGAACTGTAAATCAATAAACTTAATGAAATCCTTTACAAAAAAATCCAACACTCAAAAATTCCCGATTACTGCCCCTGGATCATCCACACACACACACACACACACACAGGTTTCACTACTTCACTTTCATATTTTACCAATAATATTCAAATTCAATTATTTCCTGCTTTTCAATTAAAACAATTTATTTTACCTTATTATATATTCACTTATCTGTACTATCAGTTGCAATATACAATGTATTTTTTTTTTTTGAAGCATCTTTGAGAACTAATCTCTTATAATGTTAATGTTACTATCATACCATCATACTTACAATAATGTTACTACCTCCTAAGCTCTCCAACACCTTCTGGGAAGTGTGGGTAGAGATATCAAATTCTAAACTGAATGCATTATAGGAAGAATAACTGGATTTTCAAAAAAAAATTTCAGTGATATTTAAGATTGAGAGCACTGTTTTGTCTGGTCACACATTTCCAATAAAAATTAACAAGATTACTAACCTGTTCGACTACTACCACTGCTGCTACTGTAGCTACTGCTACTGCCACCTCCACCACGATCCAATTCTCTTGGACCTTTGTCACGCCCTCTGTCTCGGTCACGGTCCCTCTCACGCTCCAGCCACTCTCGAGGTTTCTCCCACTGGGATACTTCTGTTTTGCAGTTGTAGTAGTATTTTTTACCTGATGAACTGATGTGCTCTGACCAATCACCTACTCTTACCACACGTTCACGTTCTTCACGTTTGTCCTGAGTAAATGATATTTAAGAACATTAAAAAAATGTAGGCAATAAGAATTATGATTTTAAAATAAGTTCAAATTCAAATGATTTTAAGTGAACTAAAACTTGTGACATAAATTGTGATCATTCAATCTCTTTTCAATACGCATTTTCACTATATTAAAAAAATTTCTATTGAGCCACACAATTAGAATGCTACCTATTTTAATATATATACCTAGGATGTGCATGATGGAAGGAATTTGAAGTTTGTCAGATTTTAGGTAAGGTTTGGGTTTTCAACAGTAGATGCTTAGATGTTAAATTATTGTCTGTGGCATAGTTGAGTTTTCTTGGCACTTCTCTCCACATTTTCAAATATAGTTATGTTAAAACACACACATACACCAACACACACACACACACACACACACACACACCACACACGCGTGCAAGAATAATTTCCTATTTCTATTTTATGTTTTGGAACATTAGTTTTTACTGGTACAATGGCTCACTTTGAGAAATGTTTATTTTAAGAACAATAAAAAAATTAAAAAAAGAATAAAATTATTGTAGCATATGTAGATCCTATGAAGGGCTAAGGCCTCCCACTTCAAGGGGGGTGAAAACATTGTTGATTTCCCCAGTTTAAATCAAATTGTTTTTTCTAGTTCTCACATGAACCAACATACAATAATCATCTTCCATTATTCTGTTTGTCGTCACAGTGGTGACGTCTCAGAAATCTTTAAGCATTTTTCTTTTCACTTTCTAAGCGAGTTCTTTGTACTCTGGTAGATGTGGCTGCATTTTTCACGTTGTTTTATGACAATTTCGTTCGACGTTGACAATTTCAAAGTGTCTTGGTTTAACTGCAATTTTCTCAAGTGGTCAGGAGTGTTTATCACTGCTTTTTCTACTGAAGTTAAAATATGTTTTTCGAGACTATTGTTCTTGTCTTGTATGTTGACTTGTGAGCTTGGCTGTAGCTCATTTGCCAAGACTCTCCAAGTAAATTTTCTCTTATTTTACGACTATCAAGTGCCAAAGTTTAGATATCAAGTGCCAAGTTTAGATACAAATATGATCCTTTCGCTTACAGTGAATAGTAGTTTCATGGCAAAATGGTAGTTTCCTATTTTGATATTCAAAACTCTTTCTAAATTGTTGATTAGTGTGTTATCGATTTCGTTTTTCGTATTGCTATCTAGGGAGTGCTAGACCAACTATCTTGTTTTCTCATCCTGAAGAATTGCGTTTGTGATTTGAAGTCTCTGCTTGGCTGCAAATTCTACTAACCTTTCTCCTTGAACATTTCTGTCACCCAAGCCTAAACGTCCACCTGTATATTCTTTGGTGTGAGGATCTGTTACACCCCCAATTTTGCATTGAAGTCACCAATACCAAAGCCGTCCTCTCAATTTTGTATTGGTTTAGTATGTTGTTTAGTACGTCATAAAAGTCCACTAATTCCTCCATTGAACTACATGCTGTTGGTGAATATACCTGAATAATTGTTATTTTAACCTATTCTCAGCCATAAGTACTACTATTCTTTCAGATATACCCACTATTTCTCAACTGACCTTTTAAGGCTTTTATTTAAACGCCCTTTTGACCTTTTGTTACACCTAAGAAATGAGTATCTTCGTTTTTAATTTCCTATATACATACATATATATGGGGAAAGTTATGTAATGCTGCAGAAAATGATTTTGAAATTGCAACGGAAATGCATATTTTGGGGTCCCCTGATAACAAAAAAGTGTTTTGAAATAAACATCTGTCTGTGAACACCACTAGTGCCTATATCATACATTGGATTTTTTCCAAATTAAAGAAACCGTTGTCCATCTGATTCGAGTCGAAGCTTCGAGATTTCGAAAAACATTCTTTAACTATTCTTCTCTATAGTTTTAAAGCCATGTACATTGTTTTGTAAATTTTAGTAGTTTTTGCGCAATATTGCGAGCAATGTGTGCAATTTAAAGAAAAATTGTCTTTAAACTTTTGGTAGGAACAGTTCTAAATGTACCCTACAAGATGACAAGAACACCACATTGCTGTATTCTTTGGTCTTTTAAAAATTACTTTACATTACCTTTTTTTTTTTTTTTTTACTTGTCTCTCACATCATTAATATTTATATTAGCAGTAATTTGTTCTCATTCTTGTATTTATGAGTACTTGTACTTTAAATAAGTTTAGATAATGTTTCTTGAAAACTTGAGTGTTTTCTATGAAAACTAGCTCAAAATTCCGCATTTTCAGAAATGCTCAAAACACCATTTTCTCAAAAACAGCTCCAAATTTCTTGAAACTTTTAGAACGGATCGTGTTATCTGCACTCTTACGTTCTTTCAAGCTTGTTTCAAAAGTTTTTTGAAAACTCAAAAATTTTCTGGGAAAAAGAGCTTCAAAAATTCTAATTTACTGTTCATTATATTTCATAAAATAATACTTCCGTTCTTTGGTTGGCGATAGATGGCAGCTGGCAAGAGTGTGTGGCAAGTTCGTATAGCTAGCTGAGACCAAAGGAAATAGAAAACTGATACAGGAATGTCTGTCCCATTCTGAAGCACCACTAGTTCTTTTCTCTACTAGATTCACATGTTCCATGTATTTCGCTATGGCCTATTACATGGTAACTAAGTTTTGTAACAACTTCTTGCAGTTCAATTTCTCTTTCATTAGGTAGTAGTGATCAAACATTGTAGGTTGCAATAATTGTAATATATAAATTTAAGATAATATAACAATAATTATAAGATATATTTTTTAAAACTGCAATTGGGCATAACCCGGATCTTACACTTCTTGTTCTTGCAATGTGATCCAGTTTCTATCAAGAACAATAAATATGTTTAAATATCTAATAATATTTTTCTTTAAACACCAAAAACAGTAACTAGTTGGTGCTAATGAATGGCACAGACTACTACTAGTGAGTTTCCTTATTCTTCAGTTTTTGGCTATCTTTTTGGTATTACCCCCCACTGCCTTATCTATTGGTGCTTAAAACACTTTTTTTTCACGTTTCTTCAATTTTTCAGATATCTAATAGAAGATTTAAAATATGACTTTAAGAATATTATATGGGGTAAAGCTTAGACCTGTATACACATTTTCATAGAAACATTTGGTGCCTTCTTTTCAACATAGTGTTGTTTAAGCATTTCTAAGCCTGGCATTTTGAATTTATTAGAATTTTATTAATTTATAAGACATAACCATAATGTAAATATTCAAGATGTGACACACACACATACGCACGCACCCACCCACACATCGCCAGCGAATCCAATAGTTCTTGCGCCTTCCGGCAACTCGAGCTTCAACACGGCGTCATACATAATGTTCCACAACATTGGACCAAGTACCGAGCCTTGTGGGACCCCGCCTGTGACCGTATAAGATTGTACTCCAGTCCCAGTTTCATAAAGGAGGATTCTCTCTTTAAAGTAACTTTTGACCAAGTTCGAGATGTACCTTGGAACTCTATGAGTTAGTAACGCAGGAATAATGGTGCTCCACCTTGCAGTGGGCAAAGAAGCCAGAGGCTGCTGACTAGCGTAGTAAATGCCATTCTTCTCTATTCAGCCCCTATTTGGGCTGATGCCATGGGCATTCAGTCATACGCCTGTGGGGCTAAGTCGGTGCACAGAAGGTCCGCCTTGAGGGTTGCTCGAGCGTTTCACACTGTATCCTATGACGCTGTGTGCATATTAGCAGAAATGCCTCCGATCGACCTCATTGCGCAGGAGAGCTAGACTACTTGCAGGGGACTTCAAACTCGAATACCTGGAGGGAGGTGACAATGGACCAATGGCGACGGCGATGGGAGCAATCATCAACTGGGTGATGGACATTTCGGGTCATTCCTGACATCATGACGTGGATCCAAAGGGAACATTGAGAATTAGATTTTTATCTAACTCAGTTGCTGACAGGGCATGGATGTTACCAAGAGTATCAGCTCCGATTCCAGTTGGACGATAGATCATGCCCAAGGTGTTTCCCGGTGATTGAAGATGTAGATCACGTGTTCTTTCATTGTCCACGCTTCGCAGTAGAAAGGGAGGAACTTCACAGACTCCTCCAAGAGGGTAGGAATAGACTAGCTATGAATCCCACACGCTGCGGGTTGCGGGCCCTGCAGTGTCTTTACAAGATTTTCTCTTGCCCCCGTAAAACACACACACACACACACAACCTCTCTCCCCCCCCCTCTCTCTCTCTATCTCTCTATCTATAGAGCTTTTCTAGAAGAGAAAAACTGTAGAACATATCCACATATCTCACTAAACTGAGGTAGGTATCTTAAACACAATTTCTGAACAACACTCGAACCAGGAGATTGTCCTTGTTCTCTTGAATCACTGGCCCTCAATGGGTCAAAATTTAAGTATCCTTGTGATGTATTGAATCACTAAAATATGAAGCTTATTTGATTGGCTTCTTGCAGATAAACTGCTTCATATAATGATTTCCATAGCAGGGTTCCATTGCTTCATCAGAATAAAGTTTTCCTTAAGGTTCAATGAAAGTCTGAAACTTTTTATTCAGATGATTGATAAGTGGTCTCACTTTGAAGAATTTGTATTTCTTATCTATGCCATTGTCATTCAAATGTAACTATCTTGCACTTCCCAAAAATGTCCTCTTTATAGTGCTGGTAACCAATAAATTGTGTGTATCAGGTTTCCCCCCCATTTCTTGTCACGATGAGGAAGACTGCAGTAACCTAACAGAAGCAAGATTTGCAATGCAATTGCAAGATTGTAATTATGTTTGTGACTCACTGAATATGTGTTCCTTTTGACATTGCATAGGGAACAGTTTCTTGCGCGATTCTATGTTTAATTTGGATATCAAAAAATTGTTTAAAAAGATCAACAGGATCTGCATTGGATTTTTTTTAGCCCTTCGAAAAAATTTTGGGGCTGCAACAGAATAATAATAATAATAATAATAATAATAATAATAATAATAATAATAATAATAATAATAATAACTTGTCATTAGGTTCAAGAATAATTTCATCCCAATTTTTCTTTTTCATACTGTGTTTAACTCTCTTCTCCCGTGGTTCAGTTTTTTTATTTAGTACCATTTTCAACAACATCATCACACTCTGAAAGAATTTCTAATTTCCTCTTGTTGTGAAAGAACTCCTCTTCCTAAATCCAGAATATCAACAGATTCAGCTTCCATACCATTTCCTGCATCATCTTCATCACTAGTAGTGCCATCATTCGTGGAATGAAGCACAAATTCTAATTCATCGGCTTCATCAATTCAAGATGCAAGTGTATAATTCTCCACCATCATTTAGAATGTTAATCATTGCCTCTGCAACTGCATTTGCTATGTTCGCACTGTAAATACGAAACAATTTCCCTTGAACGGCTACAGAATGAAATTTCATGCCTAAAGTTGCATTCATCACGTAGGCCACAAAAATTATTTTAAAATGAAGTATACATGATTATTCATTAACAGTATCCCTAATTAATAAAGCAAAATGTGCATCATTTTGCCTACTACTTGTACACGTAACAACTTACAATATTTCTCACGAGGTCAAATAAGTCACAACAATAACAATGGTATACCTGGAAGTTAGTTTATTGTTGATATAATAAATTAAATTATAATATATAAATATAATAATTATATATAAATATACAATAATAATAATTATTATAAATTAAATTAAAATATATATAATTAAAATCTTGCATTTGGTATGAAATTAATACCTAGGCCACCATTAGGTTAAAGAAAGTACCAATTGCGGAGAACTAATTTTGTTCCAAGAAAAACATCCCTTCCTTCAAAATTGTAATTGTAGGAAATACTGAAAAAAATTCAAACTATTGTGATCTGAATATAAGCTCACTGCACTCTCATAGGGAATATATTCATCGTTTTTTGTGTAAGTTGGTAAATAAGTTTATAGATTCCCCGACATTGTATACTAAACTTCCTTGGATGAAATTCATGCACAGACTGTGTTCTCTCAGAACTGTACTATTTAGTGTTCTATTTTTGAGAATAAACACTTTATTATGCTCGCTTGTGAAAGATGTGTCAAAGAGCTAACAATGATGTGATTGAGCTATATTACTCTATTTATGAATTTAAATGTAACTTGAAAAAACTTAATAAGAAAATAATCCTACATATAATTTAGATGCTGTTATTCAAAGATGAGAGTTTTGTAAAAACCACAACTACTACAACAACAACGACCTTGGCATTGACAAGTTCTGGAAAATGAAAGCAATGCCTAAACAAAACAAATTGAACTACTCACAACTCTTAGTGAATGGTCTAATGAAATAAAATTCAATGAACTATGGTATTTTATTGCAAAAGAAGGAAAAAACCTGGTTCCACTTACTTGGCAGGAGTTGTGTAAAGGTTTACGCTGGGAAGACTCCCGTGCAGATGCATTTTGTGACTGCACTTTTATTGGATGAAGAATAACCTATTGAAGAAAACAAACACAATTGAATTTGAAAATTAATCAAATTATTCAACGTTATCAACAATTACACAGGTCTGCCAAATAAAATTTTTGATCAGCTGTGTGCCCTAAATCGAGGCATGTCAACCATTTTGTTCTCAGAGTACAGTTTTCAAACAGATGGGTGGTAATTGTATAAAAAACGACATTTAATGTAAATATTTTATTTTCCCCTTATTTTATTTACCCTTGTATTATCCCATTTTATTTTACTTTTTATTTTTAGTTATTAATGCGCATAGCCAGTAGAATATATATTTATATATAGGCTTATAATAAAATACAAAAATTTATAACATTTCTGATAATTTATCACAGCAGTGAATAAACGCATTTAACAGTAGAGCTAATTAGTATATTTAAAGAATCGGCAAATATGCTGATGCTTAATTCAATATTAGAAACAAATTAGTTAACATTCTGCAAAGAACAATACTTGGTATCAAATAATTGCTAGTTGTAGTAATATTGACAGATCCATAGTAACAAGAAGAGTAATGTGAGACATACAGTAGAATTTAACCATGAATAATGGTTTTCAAGTTTAACCATAAAGGAAAATTAGCTGAAAAAATATTAGTGTGAAAAGGATATAAGATTGGTGACCGTAGACAGAGAGATAGATAGAGATATATATATAGAGAGAGATATATATAGAGAGAGAGATATAGAGAGAGAGAGATATATATATATATATAGAGAGATATATAGAGAGAGATATAGAGAGAGAGAGATATAGAGAGAGAGAGAGATATAGAGAGAGAGAGATATAGAGAGAGAGAGAGAGATATATATATATAGAGAGAGATATATATATATAGAGAGAGATATATATAGAGAGAGAGATATATATAGAGAGAGATATATATATAGAGAGAGAGATATATATAGAGAGAGAGATATAGAGAGAGATAGATAGAGAGAGAGAGATAGAGAGAGAGATAGAGAGAGACAGATAGAGAGATAGAGAGAGAGAGAGAAGAAAAACCATTTCTTATAGACGATTCTCAAGAATTTTAGAAAAATTACACAATGATATAGACTGATAATTAACAATAAGTCTATGGTCCCCCTTCTTAACCCATTAAGAACCAAGCATTGAAATAATAATTTTTTCATAATATTATGTTTTCACTCTAACATGACTAGATTACTCTATTTTATCTAGAGGATAAAAAACTCATTTATAATTTTTTAGTCAATAGTTACTGCACAACCAAATGTTGCATAAACGCAACATTGGGACCATAGGGTATATTGACATGGGATGACTGGAAACAGTTTGAATGGAGATAACATTGCATTTTTTACATTTGCAAATTGTAGTAATTTTGCACAATCTGCACTTCTTTCTCATTTCTCTTATAATCATATTTCATTATAATCACTGCTCAACTTCATGATTGATTAACTGATGATTTCCGGCAAGTCCACTTCTAAGTTCAATGGTCTCTTAAATGTAGTGCGCGTTTTGAGTGAGAGAGCTGGAGGTGATTTTCCCCTATTGGATGGCAAGACCTGATGCAGATCTACTTGTTGGCTTGCAGGTTTTTTCTGCACTAGGCGGGGCTCTGCCTCAACCAAAACCAGCTCTAAGCTCTCAACCAGACTCCTCGCATGTGTGAAAGGGAAGTGAAAGTAAGTGTAAGCGAGCAAGTAATCGGTGAGGATAAGACATTGTGAGGAAGGAATGATTTGAAATCCTTCAAAAAAGGTTTGGGTGTTGCTGCAGCATTTGCCTGGTACTGATTGGAGAAACCAAGGAAATTCACAAATCACTGATGAGAGCAGCAGGTTGCAAGAATTTTTTTCGGAACAGCGGCTGAACTCAAACAAGTTATATAGCTAGAGTCGAAAATCTTCCTTTGTCGGGACTCGAACACTAGGACCCCATGGTCAGAGGCACTGCAGTGACAAATTTATGCACCAAACCACCTCTCTTGGTATCCGTATATAATCCTAACGTACTTGTTTAGGTTTGGAAGTGTTTGTGGGTCGACAAAAATGGGATTTTTCAGTTTTCTATGTATTCATTGACTAGTTATTGTACACACTTCCTAATACACAGTCTTCAACTTACATTAGAAACAGGGCTAAGTAGGAGCGAAATAATAGTTGTAACACGTTTTCTTTATTTGCAATATATATTTTCCATGAGTTGACAATTGCACAATCAATTTTTTTTCTTCTTATCTCTCTCTCTCTTTCTGTCCAATAAATTATCTATATTTTTCTTCAACGTTGGATGCAATGCACACAATTTCAATCATACTTTCAGAAATAAGGTCAACATCTTCCTCCAGAAATAAGTTCAGCGGCTGATAGAGGCCTTTATTTTCTTCTGTCATTCCCAAAATAAGCAGAATTTTTGTAGAAGGTAAACAATTATGCTTGATGCATTCTTTATACATGATGCAACAATGCATGATAAGACACCATCTACAAGTTGAGATAATTGTATCAGAAAAAGAAATATTAAACAAAAGTTACAAGTCTATTACTCACCGAGTCATTCCAATTGCATTTGTTCCATCATGTTCATACCATATACTCACTAATCCAAATGTTATGTATTGTAAATTATCACACAGCACAATTTACACAAATACTGCTCTGTGCTCTTGTACAATCTTAACTTTAATATGCATCAGTTGTATGGTCTCAAAAACAGAAGAAAAAAGGTGTATAATATTGGGAAAATGCCAGAGAAAGTTTTAAAAATATCTTGAGTTTCATGATTGTGTTGTATATCCACAAAAGGGAACTGAACAATACCCGATCCGAAAATTTGACAGCCAACAACACAAGAGACAATTACTCACCATTATATTTTTGTTAATTGTCTTTTGAGCCTCTACTCTCAAGACTACCAGCATGGATTCAGGGAGGACAGTCAACCTGTCCTTGGTCTTATTCAAAAAGTTAATTGTTGATTCGCTTGCTGATGGCTCTCACATCGATTCAATCAATATGGATTTAGCAAAATCCATAGTTAAGGCATTAGAGCAGATCAATAGTACGATCTTAATCCATAAACTAAGGTGGGTTTGGGTGATCCGCTTCTTTCTTGGAACTATTCTTATTTGCATAACCGACTACAATACGTTTCTCTGAATGGTATCCAGTCCGACGCTTACCATGTATCATCTGGAGTCCCTTTACTTTTCAACTTGATTATACAAGATCTCCCTATAGCCATAAAACACAGTAATATCTTCCTTTCTGCTGATGATGCTAAGATTTATCATTTAATAGTTAATACTGATGATGCCGTCAAGTTGCATTTTGATTTACTAGCTGTTGACAATTGGTGCCTTCTGAACAACATATCATTGCACCATGACAAGTGCTATACCATTAGCTTCTTCAGAAGGAAGGACACTTAAGTTTTCCATATTGACTCAATGGCAGGATATTGGCTGTAGTTGACAACATCAGAGACTTTGAGAGTTATGTTCGACAGTAAACTCAATTTCATCAACCATGTTAACAGTATTGTTAACAAAGCTTTGCGATTCCTGGGTTTTATCCTGCAAAACTCATCACCATTTCAATCACTCTACACATTTAACTTCTCTTAAACTCGCTGGTTAGGGCGATTCTCAAGTATGCCCTTCTGATTTGAACTCTCTTCACTGGGAAGGTAGTAAAACATCTTGAGAAGATCCAAAACACATTGTTGTGCAACTTAGCATTTTGTGATGAATACCCTATCTGCAGTTTTGTCAAGACTACACTGATTACTACTAATTGTAAAACATTCCTCATCTTCGGAATAGAAGAATACTCCAAACAACATCTTTCTAATTAAAATTTTGTCGGGTGAAATTAATTGTAACAATTTTCTCCCTAATTTTGGAGCCCTTGCATGTCAACATGTAATCCCTTATTATTTTCTGTCAAACCTGTGAAAACTGACTATAAAATGAATGATACCTTCTACTGTATTGCCTCTACTGCTAACGAGTACTACAATTAACAACATTACTTACTGAAGCTATGTACGTACTATCCGAGAATTGCTCTATAAAACCACTTTTTTTAAATTAAGATATTGTTTTTAAATTTTCTAAATTTACTCTCTGTGACTTCATAAATGTGTGTCTTGTACTCCAATATTATAATTACATGTTTTAAAGGGAATATTCCGTAAACAAATACATAAATATTTATTTTCTTAAGTCATGTAGGTACAATGTAATGAGTAAGGTTAGCTTCAATTTTCCTTCTACTCATAAATCCAAACTGTCAAAGCAATAGATAAGGATATAGGCAATTATTTCAATTTATCAGTCACAATGGATTCAAACAGTTTCCGTATGGTACTGAAGGTAGGAATTGGACAATAATGATCAATAATGTTCCTATCTCCCAACTTAAATATAAGAATTATAAACGAGGACTTCCATTCAATGGGAAAAGTGCCCTCAGATAATATCTTTAGAATTTGTTAAAATAATTATTAGTATATGTGCCACCGCTAGTAAGTGAAGTTTTTTTTCATCATATTGCAATACTCTTGAAACCCTAGTGTTAGCAAGCCCAAACCTCAATTGGCTGTTATTAGGTGACTATAATTTACCAAACGTTTCCTGGCACAAAGACGAATTTGCATACTATCTTTCAACAAACATGCTATGTTAAGAGAGCGGAACTGTGCAAAGACATTAGCAGAAACTTTGAATTACATTAATTTGTTTCAAATCAACTATATTGTTAATGTTAAAAAGGTTTTAGTGGATTTCCTGATTACTGGATTTTCTAATAAACTTTTACTCTTTTCTTTTTTAATTGGAAACGTGTGATATACCAGTTTACGAATGCTGTAATAGCAAGAAATGTAAAATGTTGACATGTATAAATTGTGGTGCTGCACATCACTTGTCATGTTAGGGGAGAAGAAAAGTTAATGTGCATTGATAACACCATGATTCAATGCTGGGAAATGATAGATGGAGTTC